CCGCACGATTTTACATGGGTAGGCTCAACAGCATGTTGGGCAGACACAGTAAAATGTCCCTCCCCAACAAGCGAACCCTATATAAGGTCTGCATACGACCTGTCATGACCTACGCGGCCCCCATTTTCGAAGATGCTAAGCCCAAAGTTATAAATGAACTTCAAATAGTTCAAAATCTATTCTGTCGTAGGGCCACTAACTCGCCCTATTATGTCCGTAATGTCGACCTACACCGAGACTTAGAGCTCCCAACAATCCAGCAGTTCCTTAAATCACTCTCTGAGAGATTTTTCAAAGCCTCAGAGTCCCACCCAAATCATCTCATTCGTGAGACAGCTGCCTATGCAGCCCCTATCCACACTCGCTATAGTGTGCGCAGACAGAGAAACTCTCTCTCGGACCCCCCAACAAGCTTTCGGCTGACCTGAACTGCCTTCTGGCGGCTCAGGCCGAGCCTACATAATACATCCCTTAATCTACCTTAGTTAGGCACACTTTTAAGCGGCTTTTCGCCGCTTGCGCCCTCCTTTCTGCCAAGGAGGGTCGCGTTCGTATACGGCTTAGAGATCTCTCGACAGATCGGTAAGCCAATCTATAAAGGCGATGTTTAGTGGATAAAAGTCTCCACATAACCACGCAGCCGGCTGCGTGGTATGCTATGAGCATTCACCGCCTCCCTCCCCCGCTTTCCGGAGGGTTGCCCATATTTGCTTCGGCGCAAAAAAAAAGTCACTCGTCCCTTTTTGGCATCGGTCATCACGGAGTGCGGAAGCCTTGCTGGAATACTAAGTCATTATTTTAAATCTTGTTTTAAGCTTTTAAGTTAGTTAATATTTATTTGGCCAAAGGCCATTAAAATCTTTTTAAAAAGTCAATCCGTGTTTCTATTTGTAACAAGATTTATAAAATGAACTGGTATCACGACGACTGAATGTACTGCAATGTAGTGATGTACGCCACAACTTTAGCTATCGATAAGTTAATGAAACTATTCGGGTTTGTCTGCCGAACTGATTTTTATTTTTTGCTTAGATTTTATAATAAAGTATTACAAAAAGCGGTGAATTTTTCTATTATTGCTTTGATTTCACATATTTCCAAGAGATCCTCTTAGACAGCAAGCTTGTATTGCAGCTTGTAGAAATCATGAGTCTTAGATACCCAAACGTACTAGCACTATTTGCTCCGAACATTTTGATAAATCATATTTAATACCCCAAACTATCAATAAAAGAAGGTTAGCCACTTCTGATGGACCAACTTTGAACTTGTCGTAGGGGGTAATGTCTAGCAGTAATTATATCAATAGATTAAATATTTTTATTAGGTATTACTCTCGAGCTCTCGACACCAATATTATTCTTTCTTAAATTAATATTATATTTATAGATAAAATCCGTGCGATTAGTTTCTTTAGTGTAGTGTTAATATATATATATATATATATATATATATATATATATATATATATATATATATATATACATATATATATATATATAATATTAATCTTGACTTTTGATCCCTAACGTTTCGGGTGCTTTACAACCCGACCTTTAATGACACGTCAATGACAAAGTGCGGCACGTGCCAAGGCGGTGTGGCATAAAAGCCTCTTTACCCCAGCGACCAGACTATACACGAAGGAAAATTAAACTAAACAAACGCCTTGAAATAAAAAGCAATAGTATAAGTAAAAGTGTTTATACGTGGTAGACCCACGCTGCAGCTATATTATGGCTGTAGCATGAATCGGTCGGCTCGTCCGGGGCAGGACCACGCTCTCACAGAATACCAGCGTAAAATAGCAGCTTAATGTTGCCGTGTTTCGTATGATGTGTGTAAAGAACCGGACACCCGTTTTAGTGGAATCGAGGCATTCCATCTTAGTCCTCAAGGGTGACAACGCATTTGTATTTTGATTTTTAATCGAGGTTAAATGTAGATATGTATGTGCCATAGCATCCATTTACTAACAGGAGGACTGTTTGCTCGTTTGTCACCCTTATTATAGAAAAAATCTTCAATCGCAGTAACGGTACTATTAAAAGAAAAAGTTACAAGTTTTCAAGAAATATTAAATTCGCCGACAGAGACATCTTTGAAATAAAGAAACAAAAATATTCTGGAAGAAATAGGAACTGAAGAAGGCGAAGTTTTAAAGTGACAATTCCTTAAAAGTAAGACTGGAAAACTATCCAGAACTAAATATTCCACAGAGTTAAGATATTTTGCCCTAACACTTAATTATTAACGAAAAGCCTAATGCTATGTATGTAACAAAATTTTGTATGTATGTTTGTCTGCACCACGGACATAGACTAAGTGGTACAGTACCATCAATGACCGACCAAAGTTTACTCAAGAAGCGCTGACGACAATAAAATTGAGAGCGGAGAGTAAACCTTATAAAAAAAGTTGCACCTTGGTCATGGATCAAATTAAAATTAAGCAATTGACGAAATACCATGCTAGCAGCCAAAAACATTATAGCTATGTCGACTACGGGTTTGATATTATATTCGATAATTACGATGAAGCTTGGTCGGAATAAACACACCGTGGAAAGTACCCAAAGCCAAATTTTTGATTAAATTCTATACCTTTAAACGAGCAATTCTTATATATATATAATCAGAATCTCGGAAACTGCTCCAACGATTTTCATAAAATTTAGTGTTTAGGGGGGTTTCAGGGGCAATAAATTGATCTACGAGGGTGGATTGAAAAGTACTCGGCCTAACCAAGAAAATAAACACATACTAAATCAGTTATATTTTTATTTTTCTACATAATCACCATCAAGTTCAATACACTTTTGCCACCTCCCCTTCCAAGCATTTAGACCGTTGAAAAAAAATGATTCTTCCTTAGAGTCAAAATATGCGTCTACAGCTGCTTTGACCTCGTCGTTTGTCGAAAATCTTTGACCTCCCAAGTGCTTTTTTAGGTTAGGGAACAGAAAGAAGTCTGATGGTGCCAGATCAGGTGAATACGGCGGATGCGGTAACAGTTCAAAGCCACAGTTGTGAATTTCAGCCATTGACTGTACTGACGTGTGAACACGGGCGTTATCTTGATGAAACAGGACTTTTCTTCTGAGCATTCCTCGACGTTTTTCTTTTATTTCCTCTCGTAAACGACGTAGTAAGGTGCAGTAGTAATCAGAGTTTATAGTCTGACCCTTTTCAAGATAATCAATCATAATCACACCTTTCGAGTCCCAGAATACTGAAGCCATCACCTTATTTGCCGACAAAATCTACTTAGCCTTTTTAGGGGTGGTGAACCAGGTCTTCCCCACTGTTTTGATTGTTGTTTTGTTTCCGGTGTACAGTAATGAACCCATGTTTCGTCCATAGTAACAAAACGATTCAAAAAATTATCTGCATCGGCTTCAAATAACTCCAAACAGTCGCGTGAAATAGTCAATCGCGTCCTTTTTTGTTCAACTGAAAGCAGTCGCAGAACCCACCTCGCAGACACCTTGTGGAAACCCAACTCCTTGACAATGACGTTTTGAGTTCGTTTATAAGAGATGCCTATAATCTCGGCTATCTCTCTAATTTTTAATCTGCGGTCTCCCATTATTAAATCAAGTACTTTTTTAATATTTTCGTCAGTAGTTGACGTCGAAGGCCTTCCAGAGCGGGGTTCATCTTTCACACTCTCTCTACCACGCTTAAATTCTGCTATCCATTTTTTGACGGATGAATATGACAGAGCATAATCGCCTAATGTACTGACCATGTCATCATGGATGGCTTTTGATGATAGCCCCTTCTTATGGAGGTACTTAATGACGGCACGCTGCTCGATTTGCTCCATTCGCGGAAATTATGTCTGATTACTTTGTTAATAAATTTATAAAATCACAACTAATTATCGCACACGTTTCGAACTTCACACAATGAACTAGTCTGAACTGAACTAAATAATATGGGTAGATTTGATTTTTAGAATTGAATGGATCTGTGTTAGGCCGAGTACTTTTCAATCCACCCTCGTAGCTAGGATTCATTCTTAGAAAATGTCCTTTTGTCCGTGTTTTTAGGCAATAACAAACTGCTACAATATAAGAAGAAAAATTTTGAAAGCGTATTAACGATCGTAATAGCCTAAGTGGGATATCGGGCGGTCGCATAATCGAAGTGCCCAGGTTCGCGTCCTGTCTCTGGTCCGACTTTTTTTCCCTATTTTTCAAGTTCGGTTCTTTTGTGAGAAAATCTATTATTTCGAGCCCTTTTTTTTATTTTTTTAAAAATACGAAAATTTTAATTAAACTAATTGCACTCATGATTTTTTATTCAAATCACCAGTTCAGTTTTTTCTATTATATTAAGATCAAAAAATATTATTTATGTTTCATCAGTATGTAATTAGTACCTAATTATAATTTCCAAAAAAAATACAGAGGAAAGCTCGGTCATCCAGGTACTTTGAATTAAAATCTGTGTTTGATCAGTTTTTCAAAAACAGACCACAATTCTTTTAACTAATAAAACCATAATTTCATATTACACTAAATTGCTTCTGACCGTATGAGGAAGCTCAGCGAGCTACAGAGACGGCTGTGGGGGTGTTGGGGTTTTCTTGAAGATAAACTTAGAAATAAGGATATGCGCATTAGAACCAGAGAACCAGAACCCAACGGATTAGTAAGCTAAGGTGGCAATGGACCAGCCATATAGCTCGAAGAACCTATATGAAAAACCTGTTCCGAGACATATGATCAGCTACAAAAGCGACACGAAATTTGTGTTGCCAGTACATTCGGAGAATTGGATATCCAATACAAGACATGACTAAATTAATTACAATAAAAATGTAGCACTCGGGAAGTGTCATATTTAAAAACTGGCCGTTTCTTGATAGATACATCTCATTGGATCTATCTACGATAATTTGCATCAGCTCATCATTTACGTATCGACGAAAATAATCAATTTTACAGAATTCTTCGTCATTAAGAGGTAAATATGATGGCTGCATAAAAGGAATTATATCAGGATTAAAATCTTTTTCTTTCCAACCTCCAAATTGTCCATCGTCATTGCCAACAATCTCCCACGAGATGAACTTCCTCTTCTACTACTTGCTCGAGAAATCGAAAAAACTCTTCGACCACGACGGCTACCTCGACGCTGTAAGCTCCTCCCTCGCGTAACAGAAGAATTAGAAATCGCAGGACTTGAAACTGTAAGCACACCTTCAGAATCAGAAGACGATTCTGCTGAATTGTCCGATTGACGATTTCGGCCCCGAGGTCGATAATCCACATCATCGATATCATCATCGCCGTCATCATCCTCGAACTCGGATACGTCCAGATTAAGCTGATTTTCTATAGCTTCGTCGTCCATGGCTTAAACAAAAGAAAATAAAGTAAACACCCAATAGAAATTAGGCTAATTTTTACAATAAAAACCCACCGACCTTATTTTGGGAAATAGTTTTTATCGTTCGAATATTACGGAATTAAAATGACTTTGCTACGAAAAAAACATGTCGGAACAAAATATAATATATCCGCAACTGTTTGCAATACATTTTAGACATCACCATGTTATGATTATAAAGATATGAATGGATTTACTTACCAATCTCCACGAGACTTCTGTTCACATGAGATGAAATGTCAAAAAGACAGATTCTTGGTTCTTAAATGTCAAGTTGACATTGCCAAAATTAGAGATACGTTCATAGTTAATAGTTTTTGATGGCAGATTTAAAATGGCGGGATTATTTAAACCAAAAATTACGTTCAAATATCATGTCGTAATTTTAGGTAGCCGGACCGCAATTTGACGATTTTAAAAGCTGTGTTGGGCCGGAATGCCAAAATATTTTTGTCATTAAATTAGGTCATTGGGCCTTACGAGGTTAAAGCAGTTTTTAAAAAAGGAGGATTTTTATAATTCGACTGTATATTTTTGTATGTATGTTACCTCTTCTATGTATGCTACCTATTCTATGTACGCTATATCTTCGTCAATTGTGAACCGAATTTGATGATTCTCCTTTATTAATAAGTTATACTTCAGGGGTAGTTCCAATTAATTTGGAGAACAAATTGCACCCCAAGGGTAGCAAAATAGGCGATGAAGTTTTTATGTAACTTTTTAAGACATTGACATATATTCCTTCATCATTACAGTCCTTCACAAGTCCACTGCTGAACATGGGCCTTCTCCAAGTAATGCCACAAAGCACGGTCCTGAGCCACCTGCATCCATCGACTTCCTACATGACTTACCAGTTCGTCACTCCATCTAGTGGGGGGTCGCCCTACACTACGCTTACCGGTACAAGGCTGCCACTCGAACCTTCGGTTTTTTTATAAGATTGGGTGACAAACGAGCTGACCCATTCGAGCTACAACTATTATATATAGCTGCAGCATGGCTCTACCGCGTAAACGTCGTTCTTCGAGCTGTATGGCCGGCCCATTGCCACTTCACTTAATAATCCGTTGGGCTATGTCTGCCACACTAGTTCTACTGCGGATATCCTCATTTCTAAGTTTATCACGCAGAAAAACCCCAAGCATAGCCCTCTCTATAGCTCGCTGAGCGCCCTTGAGCGTCCTCATACGGCCAGCAGTGAAGGGCAACGTCTCAATCCGTAAGTCATCACTGGCAAAACGCACTGGTTGTACCATCTACTTTTCAGGTTTTGAGGTATACCTCACTAGAAAATGTGTCGTAGTTTCCTGAACGCTGCCCAAACAAGTTGAATCCGTCAATTGAGCTCTCGGTCGAAGTTGGACTTTACCTAGTCGGACTATTTATCCCAGGTAAACGTACTCGTCAACAACTTAGAGTTTAGTGATCCCAACAACTACCGGCATAGGTGTGACATGGACATTAAACATGATATTCCTTAGTCCACTGAAAATGATAAAAAAATTATTATTTTTTAAACATAATAAATAATATATTAATAAAAATAAAAGCTGACACCGAAAAATTAAAAAGAATTAAATAATTAAATGTTTTGAAATCGGTGCTTTTACAAACTATGTATTAACACCGACTTCAGAATGACAAATTATTTAATTCTTTTTATTTCTTTGAAATCAGCTTTTACTGTTTATTAAAAATTATTTTTTAGAGTCATGTGTATAGCTCAAAAACAGGGATGACGCTTGCATGAAATTTCCGAAACGCAAATAACCCAAGTTTGATTCCTGACAATTATTTGTTCATTTCAAACATGAAAAATTAAAATTTCTGCTTGCCTCAGTAATAACAGATCTGACCTGGACATCTGTTGATGAACCGCGTTGAATTATATTGTGTGGATTTATATTTATTACCGATTATATTTACATTTGTGATTCTTTCTTAGGGATCGACCAATCTCTAATTTTAAGATATATACAGAATTATACGAAAGCTCTAGATTTCAGAAATACCTTTATTCAGGCGTGTAATGCATACAGGCTGTAGGAATTATGTGGGATATTCTAGATTCTAGATAATGGAGACAGCAGATTTTGAGGTGAAATTGTATGAAAAAATCTATACTATAGCTAGCCGTGCCCGTGACTTCGTTCGCATGGAATTAGCACTTTTGTATAATAAACAATGATAATATACTTGTTATTATTATTAGAAAGTAATGATTTACTTGTTAGCTCGCTGAGTGACTTTGAGCTTCGTCATATTGCCAGCAGTGAAGGACCACGCCTCAAATACATATGCTATCATTGGCAACATGCGATGGTTATATAATCGTGTTTTCACAGTTTTGAGGTACCTATACCTGACTAAGATGATGTGGCGTAATTTCCCGAACGCTGTCCAGCCGATTTGAATCCGTCGATTGACCTCTCGGTCGAAGTTGACCTTACCTATTCAGACTATTTGTTACAGGAAAACACACGTGACAGAAATAGGAACAGAAACACAAACTTTTTTATTCAATATAGATTGTAAATAATACTTATTGAAAGTCACGTTTTTCATTTACTACTGGTTCGCAAAAACACCTCTGTCCTGGGAAGAACCAGCAATAAACCCAGCGGGATTTTTTTCTTCAAATAATAGCTTGCAATCATGTACGTTACAATTAACAACACAAAACAAATTAGAAATAGCTTGGTAGCGATCACCCTTCCCAGGGATTATTATCATCCATAAATTTCATAATATTATAACAACCCTTTTTATACAAACTTAGTTTAATAAAGTTTTTTAACTTTGAGTATGTCAAATTTTGTATTTTTTTACCTTTGGTTTGGTCCATGTTCATTTTAAGACATAGCCAATGGGAGACACTATTGAGATCATTGATCATAGTGCTTAGGTCCTCCAGCAATTCTGGTATAAAGATTATATCGTCGGGAAATCGGAGGTAAGTAATGTACTCGCCATTGATGTTTGTACCGTATCATTTCCATTCTTTAATGCTTTTAATTTTGTTATTTTTGCATTCTTCGAATGCAGCAGTGGAGAGTTTTGGGGATATAACGACACCCTGTCTTACACTTTTCGTACTCTAGTTCTGTAGTCAGATGATCGTAGCTCCATTGTATAAACACTTCAGCACTTCGAACAATGTAGGGACTGTAGTACCGCCCTTACTTCGACGGAATCAAAGCCACTTATTTCATAGCCCACATACGCAAGAAAAATGGCAGGTTGTAATTTGAGCACCCCGTAAGGGGTTATTTTGGAATATCGTTAAACATCTATTCATTTATATTTTACAGAGTACAGTCAATCACCCCGTAAAATAAAAATTCTTGCAAAGTGTAACATACTATTTCACCCTCTTAGTAGTTGAATTTTCCGAAATCTTTTCTTAATAGATGTCTACGTTGCTATAAGTAGATACTGTCCAATTTTCAGATTTCTACGTCCAGCGGTTTCGGCTGTGCGTTGATAGATGAGTCAGTCACTCATCAGACATCTTTTATCCTTAACTTCCAATCCTCACTGCGATACTTCTAAAAAAATGGTGCAAGTCAACAATTTTAGAGAATTTTTTCGGAAAAATAATAATGGAAATGTATCATATTAACTAAAATAAATAAAACATTTAAAAAGCTATGAATATCTAGAGGATTACTTTAAAAAGGTATTTATTTCAGCAAGCACATTTATTAAATGTAATGATATTCAACAAACGTGACGTAAGTGACTGGCCGTGTAGTAACAGCGTAAGAGAATCCTTTACCCCATATCATCCCGTGGCTGAAGCAGCAGATAAGCAGCAACATCCGACACAGATAATAACGTTCGTTTGCCAGCCCGCCCGCTAAGCGTGCTAATTATGAAAAATATCCCCCCTATGAGACACTGGCTCTGGAGAGACCTATGTTCAGCTGTAGAGTTTGATAACCTGCAATGACAAGACTCTGATAATCGTATGTGACAATAAACAAACAGACACCTAGCTGATTCCATAAGTGTCCACTTTTTGAGAACGGAACGCTAATAATAATTAGTCGTAAAATATTTATTCGTTTATTTATTATTCTATTTTACAGTTAGAGTTAATTGTAAACATGATTGTAAGCTATTATTTGAAAAAAAAATAGTCCCGCTGGGTTTCTTGCTGGTTCTTCCCAGGACAGAGGTTTTTTTTTGGGAACCAGTGGTAAATGAAAAAATTGACTTTCAATAAGTATTATTTATAATCTACATTGAATAAAAAAGTTTCTGTTTCTGTTACATCATGTACAATATAACTCAGTATTGTATGTACACGTCAATGTTTATTACCTATTTGACTTCTATCACCTTGCAAAACCACTTACAGTGCATTACCCTTACAATAAACCTCAAAGATCGATGACATTAATCAAATAATAACGTGATATTCCACCCGAGGGCTCATCATAAGCTTTTAGAGATCTATTGTGCGATAAAAAGCTCTCATATAACGTGTTATCAAATAAAAGAAAGGTGTGAATTTTCACAGCCGGTGTTCGAAGCCCCACCTACTTAAGATGGCGCAGTCCCCTCCATTAGATTATCAACCAGTAGCGTTAGAGAATCACAACGAGGTCATACCTACAGCCACTGGAGCCGTTCATTCGGTACCACCTATTTTCGGAAGTAATTATGTGAACAAGATTGCAGAAGCGTAAAAGTTTAGTACCCCACCGGCTTAATCATCGATGACAATCTACCTTTAAAAAATTTGTTTAAACTTTTGTAAATTTTCAATCATGTAACATTTACTTACGTAATATTTGTCGATAAAAATGAATTCAATTAACTGCATAACGAGCACTTGCGATGAACAAAAATCGAATATTAATAGAAAACGACTTGGCTGTGATGTCGATAAAGAAGAAATGTTTTACTGTGAGTCAGAAACTGAATATGATAGTGAAAATGAAACTATTGATGTTATTTGTGAAAACAGTGGGATTTCAGTGCGGGACAACCTTCAGTTTAATAACTTTACAAATCCATTTGTTCATCCCGACGGAGTATTCTTTTTCGAACAAAACTTAGATGTTTGTTCTGAGAGGGATGAATTTAAAACCAAAAACAATAGTTGTAATAGTAAAGAAATAAAGAAAAGTGACCAAAACTGTTCTAGTGACGGCAAAACAAAAACTTTCCTCATTGACGATATCCTCGGTAATCATAAAAAAACTAGTTCAAATAGTGAAAAATCTATTATACAGTACGATCGCGATCATTTCGAGGCAAACGCTGATGAACACAATGGTATGTTGGTTGTTTTTAATAAAGCTTTGTATACATTGTTTTGCCATATTGCGCTAATAACGTGATGTAACATATTATGCTTTGGTTTTAAATAATTGGCATATAGTATTTAATGTATCATCCATTCATTACAGCCTGCTAACAATTCATTGCCTTACATAGACCTCACTTCTACCCTAGATTATAGGGGGATTATTTGCTGCACTTTATTTGCTACAGCAAAGGAGTGGAATAATTTGCCGGCATCTATCTTTTCGTACGAATACAATCTGGGCGTCTTCAAAGCAAGAGTTTATAGGCTTTAGTTACGCTAAGACAGTGCGATTTACCATCTAAGGCTGCATCACCACTTACCACAAGGTGGGATTGTGGTCAAGCACTGGTTTATAAAATGTAAAAAAAAAACTTAGCAGACGGGCTGGTAACCGCAATTTTTGGAATTGCGCTCTAAACAAGAAGGTGCTGCTGCTCATCTTCTGATTCAGTTTTTCTCTGTTGCCTTTTACGACACACAATGTCCCCAGACACACCATTTAAAATAGTATAAACCAATAATGAATTTTTAATAACATGTATATGTCTATTCATGTCATTATATTACTTAAATAATACACAAAAAAACTACTTCAAAAAAAAAATGCCTTCGCTTTTGAAACGCACCCATTTTTTTACAGGATAGGGTGACGAACGAGCACACAGTCCACCTGATGGTAAGTGGTTGCTGTGGCTCATAGACATCTACATCTATCCTCGATTACGAATCAAAATGCAGATGCGTTGTCACCCGTGAGGACTTAGATGGAATGCTTCGTTTCCAGTAAAAAGGGTCTCCAGTCTCTACACTCACCATACGAAACACAGCAGCGTTAAGCTACTATTTCACGCTGGTATTCTGTGAGAGCGTGGTCCTTCCTCGATCGAGCCAACCCATTCGTGCTACAACTATACTTCTAATATAACTGCAGTATGGCTCTACCACGTATAAAAATATAAAGTTATAGATCATTTACTCCACACGTCTAATATTTATGATAATTGTTTAAAATAATATTAACACGCAAACTAAACTCTGTGTGGTAACGACTAAAGAAAATTAAATACAGGAAGTATTTAGAACTTTTAGAACGAACGAACGAAGAACCTTTAGAACTTTTGAACCGAAAAACCTATCAAATTTTAAATTCGACTTGTAACAGTGTCAAGGATTAATTATTTTGTGAATTGAGTGTTTATTGAATTATTTTGGTACGAAATAACTATAAAATGTGGTCGTCGATCGCTCTACTAAGTGTGGCCTGCTAAACGACAGAGCGACAGTAACCAACAAAAAGGATAATGTAGCTCTTGTGATATGGTTTTTATTTTTTTGAATATTTTCTCTAAATTTCAACCCCACCTGCAGCATGTACGTTCTGTTCTACTGCCTAAAATCTGACTATAAACGGTAAAGTAAAAGTAACGGTCATTTTTGCTTGACGGGGAAAATCGTAGAGCCAAGCTACAGCTATATTATGGCTGCAGTTATAACCTAAAGCTATCTTGTTAATTCAAGGTGTTACTCTTGTTTATTTATCATGGAACAAAGATACAATTAAAAGAGATAGACAAAATAATACATACATTTTAAGTCATGCCGAAACCATGCTCAACTTATTGTAAAAACACGCATTCACGCACACATATATACATGTATAATTATTTGCAACCATCAAGTTTTGCTCGCTGATAAAGAAAGGAAGAAGAAAGATGTGTGCATGGGTGCTTACTTGAGCGTGTTTTTGGCATCATTTGAAATGTACCTAAGTAGAACTTCTAGCTTTCTTTGTTGGTCTGAGATTTTAAGTAAAGTTAAAGCCATCTTGCTAATTCTATAATTTCTATTATGAGACGGCTTTTAAAATCACCCGCAATTCCTTGTTATTAATCGAAAGTGACTATAAAAACTATTTTAAGTTAGTTAAAAAGTTACAGCCAATATAGTCCCACTGTTGAGCACAGGCCTTCCCTCATTTCTGAGTCCTCACTTGAGTCCTCTCAAGTGTCCGCCGTCCTGCCCCAACGCGTATTAGCGAACTTCACATGTCTTCGAAATATTTTTTCTTAATTATCAGTCATGCCGAACCGAGCACGTGGTAAATCAGCATTTAAAATTTCATTGGCAATTAAATATTTCATTGGTGCCGGCGGGGATCAAACCCGGTTTACTCGCGTACTGTGAAATTTACAACGAACGCTAAGTTAGTTGAATGAAAAATTTTTACCGGCCAATAATATATTTTTTAATTTTATATTTAAACGCCTATCATAAACAGCCTATAACCTTTTAACAGAAAATTAAGGCTACGTTTAATTCTTGATTTTTAAATTAAGGGAAAGGGTGTACTGTACATTTATTATATTACTACTACATTTAGTCTCTGCAGGTTATATTTTTTGATTGATATAGGGTTTACGGGATTCCTTAAAATAATTTTCAATTGTAATTAATAAATTGAAATTGAATATGAAATTAAATTTTAATGTTAGTGCGCTCAAGAATCGTACTTACCCCAGAGGGTTATTGAGCAGAATTTGCATAATACCCACCACATTTGTATTAATAAGAATCTAATTATTATCTAATTTTTGGACCCAGTATCATCAACGTCAACTTGTCAGGAGCTTACGGCTCTAAACAGCGCCGAACTGCTTGCGGGTCATGCGTACGCGCACTGGTTGGCAAGTCATCAACCCTCGACTACATTTTATGGTAAGTTAACATTTTTTTTGTATCCTTTATCATGTTAAAAAGACATTACGCCACAACAAGCCTCTCCGTCTACTCAGGAGAATTAGGTAACAGCAATTACTACGTATGCAGACATACCCACGAACTCAATACGATGTTAATCTCATTAAAAAAATATTGTTTGTCAAAAATTTATAGGAAAATCTAAAAACTCTTTATAGATCATATGAAAGTTCCCTCAATAGTCCTCGTCATCCAGTGTTGCCAATCACATGTTTTAGGACATTAAACTGTATATGGCAGAAATAGATAAGAGTGATACCTATCCAGACAGACTCCCAGACAAACCTAGATCTTTAAAAAATATTTTAAAATCCATAATTTTTCTACATTAGATGATCATTTTTAAAAAAACAAATATTTTAAAGACTTATAATATATAAAGAAAAACAAGCAAAAATTGATTAATTCATGACCTTATATTGTGTGCGAACAACATGTCACTTGACGATACATAACTGCCCAGCATCCTAACGTGGTAGAGCCATGCTGCAGCTTTGTATAGCTATAGAATAAATCCGCCATCCATCTTTGTGAACACGCTCTCACAGAATATCAGCGTGAAACAGCAGAATAATGACCTGTGTTCTTCGATCTCGTGAGTACTAATCCTCAATAAATCCTTTCTACTGGTGACGAGGCATTCCACCTTAGTCCACAAATCATAAAGTTGCCTTCGTCGATGAAAGTTTATGGAAGCGTCACCTGACGTCTTACAACAAAAAAGTAGTCGAATAATGCGGAATATCTGCCCTCTCTCCTGTTGCTAGTACCACAACTATCAATAAATTGGTTACGAACATATTACCCGTTTTCCTCTTTGCACCCTCAAGATATTATCCATCATTAATTCATTAATTACAGCCTATCAAAAGGCCACTTCTGAACGTAGGGGGAGTATTTGCCATAGTTCCCTTTCTTGGCAAGTGGTTTAGTAACCGGTTTTATTAATTTGAGTTGTTATCGGGAAGATATTGTTGCCTATCTCCACTTTAATTTCCCTCTGTTATCTTTTACGGTACTCACGGGATGGTATCGGGAAAATTGAGGATAATTTAAGGTTTTTGAGAAAAAGAAAAAAAAAAAAAACAAAAACCGTTTTTAAAAAAAAAAAAACAAAGTTATTATAAAAAAAAAAAACCATTTTTTTTTTTTTTTTTTTTGGAAAAAAAAAAAAAAAAAAAAAAAAAAAAAAGAGAAAAAAAAAATCTTAAGGTAGGTCTACGCTAGAGGTGCCGAGCATGAGCTGAGCACAAGCTGAGCCGCTCTACTCGCGGTGTCAAGTGTGGACGCACAACGAGCCTACAACATGCAAATCGATACATGCGATGCAAATCCCTTTATGTTCGTCAAAAAACCGACAATAGGCGGAGCACAGTCGAGCACGAACCAAATGCTAGAAACGCGCTCGTTTGAAGCTTCTAAGTTGGTCCACACTACATGAATTTGTGCTAGGCTCATGCTCCGCTCGTGATCGGCTCGTCTAGCATAGACCCACCTTTAGAGCTTCTAAAATATATGTTATTTGGTAGGAGGTAGTATGTTCTTTTACGCCGCTGCTACGCGGTATTATCAAGATCCCACCTTAACTTCATGAACTAGAAATATTTTCATCCAAGCAGATATCTCATTACATAGTCGATTGTTTTTTCCGCCAAGCAAGTGGTAAATATAAATAAATCAATTGCTGCATTCATGAAAAATTATAACTTGAGAACGTCTGCACCGATTGTGATGAACACTCGCACTCACATTTGGACCCGGTAAGTTGCGCTCTTGTCGAGATCTAGGAAAAAGTCGTGCGAATCCAGGGCGGATCGTTAGTCAGCATATAAAATTGGGATTATAAATGGGATCGAACTCGCTTAAGTACCGTGTGTTTGTCAAGACTTAGTATTCATACCTCCCTGACTATTAGTTTTTAAAGTCAGCAAAACAAATATTTGCAATATAATATTATAATAATCGTCACATGATTTAGTAAATAATTTACTTGATCTACTATTGACTACTTGACTATTTTCTTTATATTTTTAAGCATATGGATGTCGATTGTTGCTAACATTGCGAACGAAATCCCTGTAGATTAAAGACGTCATGTCTTGTAAAGTAACGTCACACATAATACTACTACAATATGGATGTCATTTTTCTAGTAAATCAGATACGAGTGTACTTATTCTCGTATTTGACATAGTATAAAGAATAAAGATATCAAGGATGCCCACTTGAAATTTCTATTTCCACGCATGAATTACTTATCTTTGAATTGATTTGTCTCTTTTTGCCTTATTTAAAAATTAAATTAAAGAAAACGAAACAAGTATATTAACTCAATTTATATAGAATTGTAGGTTCTCTCTATGCATACGTATTGTATGTAATTACTCTAAGTATAAAATTTGACGGAAATTCTAGTGCTTGTAAATTATCTAATAATATGACATTGATTCAAACTTCGATCGAATCACGAGCGCGCAAAAGAATGCAAGATATAATAATTGAATAAAACGTATATTATATCCAAAACTATTCTTTATTGTATTAATTTATTTATTTATTGATAGGACACCAACAGTGCACACATTATTACATTACTATTCAAAATAGACTTTATCTAGGGACTGGTGTGTGCACCTTTATGGGTGACACAGCATTACAAAATACCATAAAAGTTAAGGCAGCAAAGGTACAACAGCTTATATGTCGCAAAAATTATATCTAAAGATAATATGTAACTAAGACGATAATAGTATCCATATAAGCAAGCGGTAGCTGTAAGGAACATGTATATTAGATTATAAATTAATGTATTTAGGGAAAGTATCATTAAAATGTCGTCATTACATTACATTCGCGGTACTGGGACATATGTCCCCATATTAGTCCTGGATTGAGGAGTGTGTAAAAGTTTTGTTGTTGGACGACGAGGTATATTGTATGATACATTTAGGGAGAAATAATGTGGTAGTTCACGGCAAGCATACCTGTTTCAGAGTATCACAGATATTAACCAATTCGTATTAGCATACTTAGATATTACAATATATCTTTATATCTAAGCTTATCAAATCCATCAAAAATCGCGAATAACCGTTTAATGCTGAGTACCGACTTCCTTACAAAGTAAGAATATCATGTTGATATCAACGGATACATATATATTGCAATATATAGTTTCAATATCTGATATTCAAATACAGTACCTACATAGATACGATTTTAAATGACCTGAACATGCCAATATTTCTCGGAAACGCGTTGTCAAGTGCAGGAACAAATTTGTGTCTAAAGACAAGTCTTGGTTGTACGAATACTTATACATGGTTGAATAAACAAATAATAATAATAACTGGCTAACTTCCTCAACATGACTGCGCCAAGTAAGAGTACAATCTAATGTACTCTCAAATTACCTCGCCAATATAAATCAGTAGATCTAATGATGTGTGACTTAGTTTACCTAACAGACGTGTGCTGCCTAAGACTATAGCTTCGCATTTGCTAGGATTAACAGTGACCCCGTACCTTCTTGGCCAATTTAGAATCAAACTAAGATCGGAGTTAATCACGGTTACAGCATTACTCAAGTTAGTAACATCGGCATGAGCATACAGTTGCAAGTCGACGGCATATAGATGGTAGGAGGCACATAGGTTGCAAGTAATCATATTAATAAATTTAGATAAAAGTAATAGAGGGAGAATTCCGCCTTGCGAAGCACTTACTATTTTCTTGGAATCTGTACAAAGTATTTATTTATTTTGGGTTCTACGCAAATAAAGTTACGGGTAAAAGCTAGTATTACTTATGATCGTTACTTTAAACATAATATGAATACTTTAATGTACATATTATCACATGACACCTTACGTTACCTTCTTAACAAGAAAAGGAATATCAATTTTATCGATACTTGCAATTTTAGTGTTTTAAATTATCAACAACACTAATTATGTATATCGCGTGCTAACTCCCGGGTGTAATTCTTCACACGCAACGTTTTCTCGGCCGGCACGCAATCATCCGTCACATCTCCAACATTCACAATATTTTTGAAACATGCGTGAGATTCATTAGCTTTTATATATATATATATATATATATATATATATATATATATATATATATACAATATGTAACGTAATTAACGCACACCCTCAGACAGCCCAATTAGTATATTACGTTATAATCATAATACTTACATTGAATTTTTAGTTAAACATTTTTATGCACTTATTATTTATCAAATTATTTATACTAATTCCGGAAGAATGATGTGGTCACAATACAAATCCACGAACGCAAAGACTAACATGCTTGAAATAAAGTTCCTTTTTCTTTTTTTTATTGAATGACAGAATTAGTAATAATACAAATAAAACTACACTCTTAAAAGTCTTATTATTGCCTTAAGTTACGGTCCATTTCAGTTTGTTTTGACTGTACAGATTTAGTGTGACTGTAATTTACGTAGTTTTAATTATTTTTGGGATAAAAAATTACCAATATTAAAAATTATAGGAATCGATTCAGTAAACGATTCTGAACAAACTACTTTCTCAAAGTGCGTTAATTATGTTACGTGTTGTATGTATATATATATATATATATATATATATATATATATATATATATATATATATATATATATATATATATATAATTTGCACACCGTGTGCAGATTGGTCGAACTTGAGAGATAGGATAGTTTTTTGCCCACTCATGGGCAAAACACCCACAATTTTATTTTTTTGTGAATTTAAGAATTTTTAATAGGACATGGCAAAGGGTCATCTAAAAGGGCAGAACAACGTCTGCCTGGTTAGCTAGTATATATATATATATATATATATATATATATATATATATATATATATATATATATATATATATATATATATATATATAAATTACGTGTCACGTTGTTTATCCGCCATGGACTCCTAAACTACTTAACC